ATAATACTACGGCTTCCATGATGGTATAACACACTTGGTATAACAAAAAACTCGAGAAAATAGTAAAAATATGAAGAGAAAAATGTCTGCTGCCTCCTCCCTCAGCCTCTGGCACTTCTCTGACATTTGGCGGGAAAATGACCCTAAAAATGTCAGTCGTCCCAAAACTTTTATTTTTAAATTTTCTCTCCCTAAAACATGTTATATATACTTAATTATCCACCTATATTTGTCTATTTATATAGTTTACATATATAAACTTAATTATATGTTTTATCAGCTTATTGTAGAGAAATATAGAGAAAAATAGGTGTTTGATCTTATTATAAATGGGTAGTTTAGCGTCAAGAGCTGTTAGGTATTTTAGCTGGTTATAATGCATCATAGTGACGGCTCATTATACTAAATAACATATAATTATAATGTAAATTCTTTTTTTGTGTAAATCATTCCTAATTACACTTTACGTATGTGTCTGAGTGTATGTTAAGTAATATACATTGAAGATATACAGTATATAAATTAAAATAAACATCACTAACAATTTATATAGCTGAAAATAGCTTATAAAATAGAATAAATTACTAGCAATTCATATAGCCGGAAATTACAATATCTATATCTATTACACCTCTATAAATAATATATATACATAGTTAGGAAATACACTATATACATAAGGATGATGAATAAAAATGGTGAAAAAATGTCTTTATTCTTTTTTTACACTGTACATCTATTTATATACTTGAGAAATAATACAATAAATAATTAGTGACGATGTATAGTGAAAGTATTTTATGTGACGTAGTTGTGACGTCATGGTCAGGGGTGTGGCTTTGAGTTGCTGTAATATATTTGTGACGTAGTTGTGACGTTATGGTTAGGGATGTGGCTTTGAGTTGCTGTAATATATTTGTGACGTAGTTGTGACGTTATGATCAGGGATGTGGCTTTGAGTTGCAGTAATATATTTGTGACGTAGTTGTGACGTTATGATCAGGGGTGTGGCTTTGTGTTGCAGTAATATATTTGTGACGTAGTTGTGACGTTATGATCAGGGATGTGGCTTTGAGTTGCAGTAATATATTTGTGACGTAGTTGTGACGTTATGATCAGGGTGTGGCTTTGTGTTGCAGTAATATATTTGTGACGTAGTTGTGACGTTATGATCAGGGATGTGGCTTGTGTGTGACGTTGTGACGTTATGATCAGGGGTGTGGCTTTAGTTGCATAATATGACGTAGTTGTGACGTTATGATCAGGGTGTGATTGCAGTTATGACGACGTTATGGGATGTGGCTTTGAGTTGCAGTAATATATTTGTGACGTAGTTGTGACGTTATGATCAGGAATGTGGCTTTGAGTTGCAGTAATATATTTGTGACGTAGTTGTGACGTTATGATCAGGGGTGTGGCTTTGAGTTGCAGTAATATATTGAAGAAAAATAAATACATTAAATAAAACTTAATGGTTAATGATGGTAATGATAAATAATATTAGGTATTTGTTAAGTAAAAATGACACCTGAGTAAAATAATCCTAATATGAATAAAAATTTGGGGTATGAATAAAAACTAATAATTACGATTTTTCTTAATTATTTCTGATATGAATAAAAGTTTATGTATTTCATTGACGAAGATAATTATATTTATTTTTTTCCTTATTTTATGATTAGTGAAAAATTCTGGTTAAATAAAAACTAATATAAAATTTCTTGAATGCAATTATTTTTTGGAAAGTTTTCTCCACTTAACAAAATAATAATAATGAATAGAAAATGTAGTAATGATAATGCTTAATAAGTTAATACTACTACTAATAACAAAGTCTAGATACAATTATTGGACCAGCCATTCTCAAAAGTACACTCAGAAATCTACAGTAAATTAACAACATTATTTACAAATTTACAAATAACTAATAGCGTCTTTACTATATATATAAAACATGGTATTCAGAGGCTTAATATCAATGGATTTAAGGCGATTTTTCCTCGTAAGTTGTACAAGAAATGCTTTTAAAATGACATCAAAATAGTACAAACAGTTAAGTGTGTATCTCAAGCAGTTCAAACAGTCAGACAGTCATCTTAAAATAAGTGTATTCAAAACAGTTCAGTCATTTGAATTAGCCTTTAAGCCTGGGATTCAAGTCTAATAGTTTGGGGAGGGGGGGGGAAGGCTGGGGTCTAATAAAACTGAGAACCTATTAGAACTAGAACTGGGGGGGAACTGGGGTCTATTAGAACTGGGGCCTATTAGAACTGGGGTCTATTAGAACTAGACCCTATTAGAACTGGGGTCTATTAGAACTGGGGCCTATTAGAACTGGGTCCAATGAGTACTAAAGATCCTATTAGAACTGGGATCTATTATGCCTGGGTTAATAGCTTATAATCAACACTATTACAACCAGGCTCACTTTTCTTGTTAAATCACAACCTATGAGTGAAAAATGGAGCACCTTGTTATATAAAGACAAGGTACCAGTCATAATTAAGAGGCCATTATGTCTCCTGTAGCTAAAGTATAGACGCCTGAATATAAGTGAAAGAAGAGCTTGGAGGATGGATAGGTGTTATGGATCATGAAAAACAAATGACAATCGACTCCTATAAGCTTATAAGTTATTGAATCCTTTATACTGTTCAGGGGTTTAGCTCATGGGGTTAAGTCATCGTAATCAAGGGATCAAGTGACAGAAGAGTTGGAGAATAGATATTATGTTTCATCAATAAACAAGTGACAATCGACACCTATAAGCATAATCACCCATAAAACATCATAGGTTTTTTAATCCTAAATAAAATAAGACTTTGAAATAATTCCTTCCTATAAAATTTTTCCCCGTACTCAAAATATTATTGGAACCTTAAATTATATTCCTATAAATCGGTAATATGGTCAAACCCCTAAAATCTGACCTTTAAATCGGCATTATCATCATTACCCTAAAACCCTATCATTATTTAAAGGACAAAACCTAAAATTCTAAGTCCCGATGATACTAAACAAACACTCCTTCACAAAGTCTACGTAAGCGATAGGGCGTCCTTGAAAAATAACCCTCCTTCCCTCTCTGCTTCCTTCCTTGCTGCTCCCTGAGGTACTATGAGTTCGAGGGAGGGAGAGAGGAAGGGAGGCAGGGAGCAGAGGGAGAGAGGCAGGGTAAAGGCAGGGAGCAGAGAGGGAGAGAGGCAGGGTAAAGGCAGGGAGCAGAGAGGGAGGGAGGCAGGGTAAAGACAGGGAGCAGAGGGAGAGAGGCAGGGTAAAGGCAGGGAGCAAACAGAGGGAGACAGGGGGGGGGGATTCATCTAACAACCCTATACACAGTGCATATTTCAACCTTATTATTGCACATCAACACGATAAAATAACTCAAAACATTCCTATAACCTTCCCAATACAAACTATTTATATATATATATGTACAACTAAATTCAATATACTTTTCTTTTTATCTCTATATACAAAAACACAAATATAGTCATTATATTCTCCCCTAAAAACACAAACACAAAAACACAATTTATTTGTTTGTGTGAAGGAACTTAATGTACATATTTCTTATAGGATCTTAGTGTAGTTTGTTATGATTAGGATTTGTTATGGTTTGGGCCACCTAGTTTTAATATGGGTAGGTAGGGTAGGGTTGGGTTGGGTTAGTTGGGTTTAGGGTAGGGTATAGGGGTAGGGGGGTTGGGTTGGGTTGGGTTGGGTAGGGTAGGGTAGGGTAGGGTAGGTAGGGTAGGGGTAGGGTTTGGGTTGGGTGGGTAGGGGTAGGGTAGTAGGCAGGGGTCGGCAGGGGGCAGTAGGTAGGCAGGGGGTAGGGTAGGGTAGGTTGGGTAGGGTCAGGTAGGGTAGTAGGGTTGGGTGGGCTGGGTGGGTAGGGTTAGGGGGTCAGGAGTAGGGTAGGGTAGGGCAAGGGTAGGGGGTAGGAGGGGAGGGCAGGGTTGGGTCAGGGGGTAGGGTAGGGCAGTAGGCAGGGGTAGGGGGTGGGTAGGGTAGGGGGGGTAGGAGGGTCATAGGGTGGGTAGGGTCGGGTAGGGTAGGGTAGGGTAGGGTGGGTTTAGGGTAGGGCAGGGATGGGGTTGGCAGGGTAGGGCAGGGGTTGGGTAGGGTGGGGTGGGTAGGGGGATGGTAGGGTAGGGGGGTGGGGAGGGGGTAGGGTAGGGGGGGTGGGGGTCAGTTGGGGTTGGGTGGGGGCAGGGTTGGGGAGGGGGGGGGTTGGGTGTGGGGTTGGGGCAGGGGGCAGGGTGGGGTGGGGAGGGCAGGGGTGGGGGCAGGGGTGGGAGTCAGGGTAGGTAGGGTAGGAGGGTAGGTAGTAGGGTAGGGTAGGGTAGGGTTGGGTAGGGTAGGGTAGGGTAGGGTAGGTTCTATTACAGCCACGGGTGAAAAACCAATAATACCCTTTAATAAATGCTTACGTTTAACCCCCTCCCCTTCGTGTTTAACAATACAATTAACAAGAACAAGTAATTTTAACATCAAACTTAACATAACGAAGGAATATGACTTATGGTTATCATGTTAATAGTGATATTATTATTAACATCAGATTACAAACTTGTTAAATTGGGTTTGGATCGCGTATATGTGATTGAGATACAAATTAACAATGGAAGTAACATATTTAACATTAAAATGAATACTAAGTAATCATTTTATATGCAAGATAATTTCACAAAGATTAACAATATTTTAACATGGGAATCAACACGAGCTAACCAAGGATTTTAACAAGGTCACAACAGTTAACAAAGAGGAAATTAACATAGAAATTAACCTAACCTAACCAAGAATGTATTTTTAACAAGATCACAAAAGTTAACAAGAATAAATTTAACACATAAATTAACATGGGCTTACACAGATACACACAAATTCAACAATATTTAACATAATATGGCAGATATGCTTGATATAATTTAACCCTAAAGTGAAATAAATCAAAATTAACAATAACTTTCGTAACAATTAAATTAACGTAATTATTTATCTTTCAAATATCAATTTAATATGCAATTTAAATCTATTCGCGACACACACACACACACACACACACACACACACACACACACACACACACACACACACCTGCCACTCAAGAGGAGTATACATTTTATATCGTATGGCTTCCCTCTAAGTCATACATACATACATACATACATACATACATACATATTCCTTCCCGACTGTGAGTGTATGACTGTCAATACACACTGATGTATTAAGCTGTATGAATTGAAAGATAAAACAGATATTTGGAAAGAAATGAATGAATAAAGGAAGGAAGGAAGGAAGGAAGGAAGGAAGGAAGGAAGGAAGGAAGGAAGGAAGGAAGGAAGGAAGGAAGGAAGGAAGGAAGGAAAATTTACGTTTACTAATGAATAATTCCAATTATTTGTGAAATTGAAAAAAACCCAAACCTTTCTCTTTCTCACGTATAAAACGCTAACAAATGCTCCAGTCTTCTCTAAATGCTCCTGGGGACAATAATGCTCCATCTATATACAGTACTATAAAAAAGCAAATGACATTATGTTCTATAATCTGGTGTCTTTTAACTGTACATTATATAAACCTATAATACTATTACTGGAATTATTGACAATTATATACAGTACTATTATACTCTCCTGTACATAAATATTATAATATTTCTATAATTATTTCAACACCCCATCGAATTATATATCATGGGAGTTATATTTTCTTATTTGTATAATTGTATAGCCATGACAATCTCCTATAATTTCTCTATATAATTTCATAATGTTTTTCCAAGTTTGTTTATTTCTGTGTTAATGTGTTCAGAATATTCTATAGAGAGTGAGTCAGACATACATATAGACGTCAAATAGCTTAGTATGAATTACATTAGACATCGTTGATTATAGCCAAGAACGATAGCTATATATTTATGTCTATTACGATAATACAATGTAAGTTTATTATTATTATTATTATTCGTGGGTGGAGATCGGTTAGTCTCCATTACAAGCCAGGGTTTTTGTGTTGCCTAAACGCATGTGGCTATTTTGTAACTGATATAGACGCACTTAGGGTGATATAGCCAGTTATTGAAGCTTTTCTATATATAACATACCTATAATCTAAACACGCTTCACACAGGCAGACAATATTATACTCTAATCGTCCAAAAACATTATAAAAGTTTCTATACACACGAAGATTAGTTAATTATACCCTCTATCCATGGTTTATAGGAGGTCATGCGCATATAGACGCCAGGTAGATTAGGATAGGCACACTTAATCCCGTGAGAGACAGTGCCAGCTAGGAACCATCTGCCATCCTTCCCTTGTACTGATAGAGGACCACCGCTATCACCCTGTGGGGAAGATAAGAACTGGGGTTAGGGGTCAAAGATTATTCATAAAGAGGTCAATGTATGGGATAAAACGTGGGAGTTCTTTTAAGTTGGTTATAAAAGGTTATCCCTTCACTTACACCATACCATGCACACCTACACCACACCCTCCACCACACCCTCCTCCACACCCCTCTGCCTCACCTCACAGGAGTCCTTCTTCCCCTGCTTATACCCAGCACAGAAGAACTCCGGTTTAATATTCTTGGGATGACCCGCTTCGGAAAACCACTTCTGACATTGATTGTTCTTGATGATGGGCAGCGCCACCTCGTTTAGCTGCGTCGGAACTGGGCCACCTGTAGAAGGCCATGAAGGTGTTAATATTGGGTAAGTTATAGTGTTTTATGTCCACCTGTAGAAGGCTCTGAAGGTGTTAATATTGGGTAAGTTATAGTGTTTTATGTCCACCTGTAGAAGGCTCTGAAGGTGTTAAATATTGGGTGTTATAGTGTTTTATGTCCACCTGTAGAAGGCTCTGAAGGTGTTAATATTGGGTAAGTTATAGTGTTTTATGTCCACCTGTAGAAGGCCATGAAGGTGTTAATATTGGGTAAGTTATAGTGTTTTATGTCCACCTGCAGAAGGCCATGAAGGTGTTAAATATTGATCAAGGTAAATACAACACCTGCGTCACCTGTTTTGGCTGTGATTCTCCTCCAGAAGGCCATGAAGAAGGTAATTAAACAAAATATTAAGGTCTCTTAAATGTTATATACGACCACCACGACCTATTACAAGTCGTTTCTATATCATATTTGACTATTATTTGCTATTAGAGTCGTCCTAATGTTATATACGACCACCACGACCTATTACAAGTCGTTTCTATATCATATTTGACTATTATTTGCTATTAGAGTCGTCCTAATGTTATATACGACCACCACGACCTATTACAAGTCGTTTCTATATCCAACCTCACCATCACTCACCATAGGAAAGTCGTCCCCATCCCGTTGCATATCCAAGCTTCCCCACTATGTCCTCATCACCGTTGGGCATACAAACTGGTACAATATGTTCATCGTAATTCACAGGTTGTTCTAATTCCAATAGGGCCAAGTCGTTATCGAAGGTCTTAGCCACGTAACCCTTATGGACGATGACCCTCTTGACGTTGCGTTGGATGACTTTTTTAGGCTCGTAGTCGTCTGAGAGGTCATATTCTCCCAACACTACGATGAGAGATGCCAAGAATCTGCAGTGGATTAGGATTCTGGATTAGGTGATTTATGATGTGGGATTAACGGTGTGATTGTGGGTTTTGTGTTATTCTTGTCCTCTTAATTCATTCCTTTCATTACTCTCTTCTTCTCTCTCTCTCACTCTCTCTCTCTCTCTCTCTCTCTCTCTCTCTACTCACCCGGGCTGACAGTGGGCAGCCGTCAGGACATACCGCTTATTAAGCAGTACACCTCCGCACTTGTTCTTTGTAAATATCCCCAGCCAGGTAGATTCTTTAATTAAGGCTTGCCAGGGCCACTCAGCGAAGTCAGACCTCTCACCGTTGACGATCCTTCCCTCTCGAGCCAGGGGACGTACACCACACGCTGAGAGGGATGAGAGGGGTGGATTATTATGGAAAAGAGGGGTGTGGAATGAAGAGAAAAGAAGAGGGGGTGGAGTGAAGTGGGATGAGAGAGGGGGGGTAGGATGAAGAGTGAGAGGGATGAGAGGGGTGGATTATTATGGAAAAGAGGGGTGTGGAATGAAGAGAAAAGAAGAGGGGGTGGAATGAAGTGGGATGAGAAAGGGGTGTTAAAGAAGTGAGAGGGGGTGAGGGGGTGGAAACTAAACGCCAGGCGATGACGAATGCCCGTGGTGGCAGTCTATATGGGTTTATGGGAATGCCAGACGGTACTAAATGCTTACCCTGGCGAAGAAGATGATGACCATGATGATAATGATGATGATGACAACAATGATGATGATGATGATGATAATGATGACTTACTCGTGCGGTAGTCCCAAGCTCGGGTGGTCGTAGTCGTTCTCCTAGTGGTCGTCGGTCTCCTAGTGGTCGTCGGTCTCCTAGTGGTCCGTCTCCTAGTGGTCGTCGGTCTCCTAGTAGTCGTAGTTCTTCTAGTAATAGCTTTCCTAGTAGTTGGTGGTCTGGTGGTAGTGGTGGTAGTTGTGGTGGTTGATGGTGGTGGTGGTGGTAGTGGTGGGAACAAGATTTCTTCACCAGGAACAAAGTTAGTCAGGTTGAACAGCTGTGAATATGGTAATAAGTGTTCAATAATGTTCAAAATAACGTAAATTTAGTTGTAATCAAAGTTCAGTCAGGTTGAACAGGTGTGAACATGGTAATAAGTGTTCAATAATGTTCAAAATAACGTAAATTTAGTTGTAATCAAAGTTCAGTCAGGTTGAACAGGTGTGAATATGGTAATAAGTGTTCAATAATGTTCAAAATAACGTAAATTTAGTTGTAATCAAAGTTCAGTCAGGTTGAACAGGTGTGAACATGGTAATAAGTGTTCAATAATGTTCAAAATAACGTAAATTTAGTTGTAATCAAAGTTCAGTCAGGTTGAACAGGTGTGAACATGGTAATAAGTGTTCAATAATGTTCAAAATAACGTAAATTTAGTTGTAATCAAAGTTCAGTCAGGTTGAACAGGTGTGAATATGGTAATAAGTGTTCAATAATGTTCAAAATAACGTAAATTTAGTTGTAATCAAAGTTCAGTCAGGTTGAACAGGTGTGAACATGGTAATAAGTGTTCAATAATGTTCAAAATAACGTAAATTTAGTTGTAATCAAAGTTCAGTCAGGTTGAACAGGTGTGAACATGGTAATAAGTGTTCAATAATGTTCAAAATAACGTAAATTTAGTTGTAATCAAAGTTCAGTCAGGTTGAACAGGTGTGAATATGGTAATAAGTGTTCAATAATGTTCAAAATAACGTAAATTTAGTTGTAATCAAAGTTCAGTCAGGTTGAACAGGTGTGAACATGGTAATAAGTGTTCAATAATGTTCAAAATAACTTAAATTTAGTTGTAATCAAAGTTCAGTAGGTTGAACAGGTGTGAACATGGTAATAAGTGTTCAATAATGTTCAGTAAATTTAGTTGTAATCAAAGTTCAGTCAGGTTGAACAGGTGTGAATATGGTAATAAGTGTTCAATAATGTTCAAAATAACGTAAATTTAGTTGTAATCAAAGTTCAGTCAGGTTGAACAGGTGTGAACATGGTAATAAGTGTTCAATAATGTTCAAAATAACTTAAATTTAGTTGTAATCAAAGTTCAGTCAGGTTGAACAGGTGTGAACATGGTAATAAGTGTTCAATAATGTTCAAAATAACGTAAATTTAGTTGTAATCAAAGTTCAGTCAGGTTGAACAGGTGTGAACATGGTAATAAGTGTTCAATAATGTTCAAAATAACTTAAATTTAGTTGTAATCAAAGTTCAGTCAGGTTGAACAGGTGCTTAAATAATAAAACGTAATTAAAGTGTTCATTATAAATATTATGATAAGTTCTGTTGGAAAAGTTTATACTTATAAAGTTCCTTGAATTACTGATATAGAGAATATATAATAATGATCAATATATATATGATTAACCCTTTAGGACGATGATTTAACCCTTTGAGGACGATGATTTAACCCTTTGAGACGATGTTTATACTTTGAATTAACCCTTTGAATTGATAATTCTTGAGTTAATTTAACCCTTTGGGGCAAATGATTTTGGAGATGATTCCTAGGACGATGATTTATTAGTACAATCTAACCCTTTAAAGACTGATTAAAATTCTGACCCCCAACACCTGAGCCATTGGTGATCCAAGTCTATGGGCGGCGGAGACTAAGTGGTGGTCAAAGGTTCCTCTGGGGTGACGAGTTAATGAAATCACGATAAACTGATCTCAGGCGTATATGGCCTCGGTCAGTGGTTTGGGCGTCAGTCGTCAACTAGGTCGGGGTGCTGGTCGTGGTCATTAATCGTTGGTGTTCATGGGTTTTTGTGGTCGTTGTCCGGTTATGGTCGTTGGTTTTGTGGTCGTGGTGCGTCTGGTTATGGTCGTGGTGCGTCTGTTATTCTGGTTGTGGTCGTGGGTTTATGGTCGTGGTTTTGTGGTCGTGGTGCGTCTGGTTATGGTCGTGGGTTTGTGGTCGTGGTGCGTCTGGTTGTCGTGGGTTTTGGTCGTGCGTCTGGTTGGTGGTAATTCTTCGTCAATTGGCCGGAATATTATCATTCAGTTCGTGTATTCTGGCTACCGTGGTTCGGACTGAGAGGGGGTTGTCGATGAAGCAAGTCTCCAGTAATGTGTTGCAGGACGTCTCCGGTATAATAGCTGGCTCCATATCTATGTCTTCCTCCTGCATCCCTCTTCCTCCGTCGTTGAGTCATGAACGACTCTGGCTGAATCATCTAGTCGTCGTCCAGATGTATCATCTTGGTTGGTATTAATTAGAACCATGAAATTATTTGTTGTTGTCGTCAGAAGGCGAGTGGGTCAGCGAGATTGGTGAGGTCATAGCCAATGAGGTCGTCTGGGTCGTTTGAGGACAAGCCAGTTGATGATTTCTGTCTGAGGTCGAATCTCCATGATGGAAGAGATGGTCTGATGTAATGGATCCTGTTGAGTCGTACTGTGGTTCGTGGTGGTCGTGGTAGGCTCGTTAAATTGGCTGATTCAGATATCCTGATCCGTAGATCCAGTCTTTCAGTGGTCCTTTTGAATAGTCACTTCATACAAGTATTGGTCGTCTGGGTCGTCGCCATGCTAGTGGTCGTCTTGTGGGTCGTCGCCATGGTTCGATACTTATCTTCTTGTGATGCTTTGAAGTTTCTGTCATGGTGACGATGTCAAAGTGATGGTCGTGGCTGTGGTGGTCGTCTCTTCATGGTCGTGGACGAAACATTTCAGGTCGGGAGCAAAGAATGGACCAGGGGAGTATCGGTGATATGGAGGTGATGAGCATTAAGTTGAAGTTGGTTATGTCTCCGGAGGGCGTCAGTTCGTGCTGGGGGAGTTTGGTCGACCGAATACTGAAGAGGTCAACCCGTTATCGGTAGCAGTACGACTCAAGTAGTGGCGGAGGGATTAGAAGTGGTCGTGCTCCTCTTGTCACCAGCTATTGGGCGGACGTGGGTCTATGACGTGGGTTTAGGCTCGAAGAACATCCTCCTTCGTGAGGATTCTCTGGCGGTGGGTGACGGAGGTGTCTCAGTGCGGCGTCCAGGCAGGATCAGTCGTCGAAGATTGAGACCTGGTGAGCGCCAAGCCCTCGTTATCCGCATATCATGGGGACGTCCTCGGTGTTGTCATCCGTCGAGGTTGGACTTTCTGACCTTCACTCTGGACGACAGTGGTGGACCCCGTTCTCAGTGAGGACATCATCACCTCGTGGTATTTAGACTCAGTGGAGGAGTACTCCAGGCAGCCCGTCCTCCTCCTCCTGCTTCATCACCGACGACTCCATCTGCTTGTCTTCGTCACCTGGATCATCTCTCGTCACCTCTCACCTATCGATGCAGTGATGGCGTTGTGGCATCCGTGTGACCTCCTCCTTCACTCCTCACTGGGGTCACCGTAGAGTTCTTCCACTGATACTTGGATCCTCCTCATCAGTACCTACTCCGACTAACTTATCCTCAGAAGGACACATGCATCCCTTCTTCGCCTTCACCAACCTGTTGACCCATCCATGACCACCAAGCCCCAGGGACAACCTCTCCGTCCAGAACCCAACCTTGCAGTTGACGCATACCGCCTCCACCACTGTGGGGGTGAGAGATCCTCTGTTGTGATGATGCAACACTGATGGTCACCTCGTCGCTCCCAGTGGATACTTACTTCAGGAAGACGCTGGTTATAGTGGGAAGACCTTCAGTAGTAGTAGATAACGAAGTAGTCTGAGGGGTAGCCTCCCTCCTCTCCTTCTCTTGTGCAGTCTGAGGTAATGCCTTCTCCTCCTCCTCCTCCTCATACCTTTCTTCTCTTTTGTTTATTATCATCATCTTGTGTTTTATCCCTTTTTCAACCTCTGTTTC